GGCTTCAAGCTTAAACAAGGTAGGTTTAGATGGACACTAGGAGGAAGTTCTTCACAGAAAGAGTTGTGGGATATTGGAACAGGCTGCCCAGGGAGGTGGTTGAGTCGCCATCCCTGGATGTGTTTAAGCATCGCTTGGATGTGGTGTTGGGTGATATGGTCTAGGGGTGAACTTGCGAGTAGGGTTAATGGTTGGACATGATGATCCCAAGGGTCTTTTCCAACCTGGATGATTCTGTGATTCTGTGTGATTCTGTAATTCACAGGGAAACTCCTTCGCAGCACCGTCTCGTGATGCTGAGATGTGTTTTGGGCTCAGTCTTTGGTTCCCACAACCCTTTGTCAAAAACCTTTTTAAAGTTAATGTGTCTAATGCACGTTGCTGGTCATGTGTGCTTTGTAATACTGATGTGAATGTCTTTTTGTTGTTCCTTCTTTTTTTTCTTTCCTTAGGGTGAACCTGGTAGACCAGGACAATCTGGTGAGCCTGGATTTCCAGGATCTCCAGTAAGAGCATGATTCTTTACATTTTTCGCAAAATAATCAGACTTATGTCACCACTATCTCTTTTAATAGTGAGTGCAAAGCTCTGCCATTCGATTTCTGAAGTAAATGTGTTAGCTTACTCTAATGATCCAGATGGGTGTGATGGCTCCAGACAAAAACAGGTGATGCAAAAGTCCTTGAATTAATCCAGAGATCCATTTTGTGGGTGATGTTTCAACTGTTTCTTGGATGACATATGGATAAAACAGATGACAATACGTACAAGTTGTTCTCCTTTTCCCACCATTTCACATGATCATTCACAATCATGCAAGAAGTGCTTAGGGACTATAAAATCCTGTCAGGTGAGGGTGACACGATTTGTCTTTGTGACAGTCTGAGGGCAGGGCAAGAGAGGTTTGTATGCAATTATATTTTTATATAATTTTTTGATATGCAAATGTGGCTGAAGGTTTTCCAAATAGTGCATAAATGTATTGTAGAGGATACTTGTCATGGTTTGCTCTAGAAACAAAAGAAAGCAGGTAAATCTGATGATAAAATGACATAATTTTCTAATCTTATATATTTTTGGCCCAGATTATAAGTTCTGCCTTCATTGGTCATTTTTCTGTACCCAGGAGGGAGCTGTAGTGTGGCTGAAAAGGGGACAGACAAATCCCAGAACTGAAGCCGCCTTATACACATCATGTCTTAAGCTGCCTCTTTTTCTTTTTAAGCATCCAGTTCTTGCCTGGCAATTTTGTTTCCAGCTGGAGATATGATCTCTTGGAGAGAGAAATGATTTTTTTTAACAAGGCAGTGTTGTTTCCTAAGCTCTCCTCCCAAGTTTTATGGATCAAAGACAATGCTTTGTGAGCTGCTTGAGGCAAATGTAGCCTGCTGGGTATTGTTCTGTTCAGATCAAGCTGTTTTGCTCAACAAAATTGTCTTTTAGAAGACTTTCTAATGAAGGAAAGAAGTACTAGAGCTGCACACACACACACAAAAATCTGGAAAACACCATGGAATACCCTGGTAATTGATCAATGAAGCGTGCTGTGTCGTGCTCAATGACAAGGCTCAGAGCCTGCTGTGGAGATGCCTGCTGCTTCCCCTCGTACACGATTCGCCTCTTTGCCTCCTGGCTTGTCCTGCATGTGCCCTTCATCATTTGATTGCTCTGGTTGTATAAGGTGATACAAATACACCACTGAGCAGAGACCAAATAAATCATTTGTATGGGCTACATTCAGGCTGAACAAGCATAATTTGTACCATTTCAATTTTACACGCAAGACTTTGTACGACAACAGAGATTCATCCTTCACTGAGAAACTCACTGAGTAGAAATACTTTCAAGCAATCTCATATATTCATTTCAGAAATGTAATTGCTTTTAAAAGTAATTTTCCCTTTAGGAGCCTGAAGACTCGGGAGCAATTTCCCACTGAATTTCATGATCAAACATTATCCATTTAATTGACTGTGGGAAGACAAAGCCCTATTTCACGTTTCTTGATGCTAATAAGGAAACAGCTTGTCTGGATGTGAAGTTCTCTAATGCTGATATCTCAAATACTCTTTTTTGCTCCTCTGAAGATGAGTGTTGCTTCATTTTCTGTAATACAGCTTTGTGATTTTTTGCTATGCCAAAAGGTATGAGCTGTAATGTTTTTGAGCACTTTGGTTTGGAGGTACCAAAAAGGGAAGAAATTACGTGTTTAAACAGTTTGCTGAACTGTTGTTGTCTGACAACATGAAGGTGTTAATGTGATTTATGTTATAAATTCATGTCACCAATATTCTGACACGAAGCATGTAGCTCCCTTTATTTAGTCTTTCTTGAAAAAGAAATTGGGAAAGTTGGTAGGAGCAAGGCAACTTTTGTTTAATTGCTAAAGAGGTTTGAATAGCAGTGATTTATCATGCTATTCGACTCATGTATTCTGAAAGAACACATACACTTTGCAGTTTGGTCTCAGTTTCTATTTCATTTTAAATGCTCGCTCTGAGTTTTGATCTCTCTTTAATTAATGTTTCTTCGTAGGAAGCTTGAAAACTTGATCTACTGCTAGTTGTTATTTCTGTTCGAGGTGTGATCGTACACCAGTGTAGATAATAAAGCTTTTAAAATCAGTGGAAATATCCGTAATGCTGAGACTGTCTAACTTCATAGCATGTTGTCATGCTGTTAGCTGCGTTGTCACTGGGTTTATTGGCAGAAGGAGGGATTTTATTTGTTTTTTTCTTTTTCTTGTTTAGGGGCCTCGAGGCTTTCCTGGTGCGCCTGGTCTCCCAGGTCTCAAGGGTCACAGGGTAAGAAAAGATTTACCCTCTCGTTACAAATGACGTTTCCAGGCAGCTTCAGTACAAAGATGCTTAACTTCTGTTTTATTAGGAATGAACTTGGCCACACTTTTAGTCCTGCCAGTTGCAGCAGAATCACTGGCATTTGAGAGAAAGAGGGCCTTGCAGAAAATCAGCACTATTCCCCTTTAAGCTGACCTCGGTATTATATTCTCTAGTGCTTTCTTAATTGGATTTTCAAATGATCTGGGAATCTGGAAGGAGCTCGCATGAGCCTTGCCAAGCTTCAGGAGGCACAAACCTGACAGTTCTCTCACTTTGTTGGCAAGTCTTGCGTTAGGGTGGGGAACTTGAGAGGTGGGTATGTTTGCAACATGGAGTGATTACAAATTACAAAGACTTCTAGCCAGAATTTTACTTCAGGGAGGAATAAATAGATTTCCTGTGGCTCAGAGCCTCCTTCTTGTTGCTTTAGGATTTTTTTTTTTAAATGTTCTTGTTTTAAGAAGGAAGTGAAATCCAAGGAAATGTGCCTTGTACAAGTGGTTTCCATTTAGGAGATGTTTAAAAACTGTATTCCATCTGGGTTTTTTTCTTCTGTATTTTTTTCCCTTTCTTGTTCTTGCCACCTCAGAGTCGATCTTAACACTTTAGTGTCGAGTTATTTTAAAATTAATAATGAGTCCTCTGTGTGTGTATGTATCTAAATACAATTTCTCCATGTTTCATAAATCTTACAGGGATTGAAAGGACTTGATGGTCCAAAAGGTGAAATTGGAGCAGCTGGAGCAAAGGTATTTTCATGGCTCAAAGAACAAAGTACTTAAGCATGTTTTCTATAATGCCAAAACAATGAGATCTAGTGGATCTTTTGGGTGCACAGAGAGGGCATTGCAGATCTGCCTCTTAGGTCTAACCCGAAGTGGAGGGCGGGGTTGAAATGTGAACCTTCTTTTCTTCTTCTAACTGTGTCCTTTCACTTCCATTTCCAGGGAGAATCTGGACCAACAGGTGCCATGGGGGCAACGGGTCCTCTGGTGAGTGTACCATGCGGTGGCTGTCACGGAAGTGGCTTTAAGGTTGTAGAAGCTCTTGCCAACAGGCACTTTCTCTTCATTAAGGCTTTATTTTCTATTACACCAACAGTAAATTTGGTCTATTATAAGCTGTTATTCTTTGCAATTCACGGACATAGATAATAACAATAAATCAGAGAGCTCAACAGAAGGTTGAAGTAGGTTTTGTGATTCTTCACCTACCCGTGTAAGTGTCAGGTGACAGAATATATTTTTTATTTGTTGATGCTTCATATGGAGTGATTTCAATATGGGAAAACGTGGGTTAGGTTGCTCTGAGATAGAAAAGGAAAAATTTAGGTCAGAAATGCACTAGCTAAGAAAACCATGGGCAGAGGATTTTGGAGGGTATGGTGTGAGGATGAGTGTGCATGATGTGGAAATGAAACTGAGAAATTCTTTCTCAGAGTAGTTTTTCATTCAGAGGAAGTTTTGGACAACTGTGTAGTCGTGAGCAGTGTAATATGCCAAAAATTGACTCTCAGCAGTGCTTCTGGAAGTGAAGCACCTTTCTAATGTCAGATAATGACATCTCTCCGCGAAGCGTTGTCTTGCATCCTGCAGAATGTAATATCTCTAAAGTGGAACCTAGGTCTTAAATGAGCCGTAGGAAATGAGATTGCGTTATTGACCTTGGTGAGTATATACAGAATTTATTCTAATGTGTTTAAAACTGAAAATACTGTTGAAATAGGAAAAGAGAAATTACAGTCTATCAAATTTCCACTGGGCAAACCTGTGAGGCTACAAGGATTTATGTAAGCTTCTGCTTTTCTCCTGCTATATCTGCAGGAGGTAAAAAGATAACTTGGTTCTGGAACTGTTGTTCATGTCATCTCTCCTTGTCATGCTTGTACTCTCGGTAATCCTAATCAAGTTCTTGATAAAAGCAAATAAAGAAGATAGTGCAGAAAATCACCCAAGAGCGATGCGGTCGGTGCAAAACTTATTTGAAGCAAAGGAAAAGTCAAGAATTTAAAAAAAAAAAAGAAAAAGGAAAAAAGTAATAATCAAAGACAAAGAAGAAAAAGAGAGGGAAAAGAGGAAGTGGCATTTGTTCACTCTGGGGGGCAAAGACGAGTTAACTGTATAACCCTTTCTGTTATTCTGCTGTGATAAACTCCTGAATAATGCCCTTGTCATTCTCTCATCAAGGGACCTAGAGGAATGCCAGGCGAGAGAGGTCGAATTGGACCCCAGGGTGCCCCTGTAAGTAGGATCTTCTCTTCCTTCTCTCTCTTTATAATTCTTTCTTTATTTCACCTAAATTCAAATCCCCAAGCCTGAAAATGTTTATTCCTGTGACTGCTACTCAGCTCCGTGGTGAGTTCTGCTGCAGTTGAAGAAAATCAAGGCTCCAGCAGAGTTTTGTGGGGTGAGACCTTTACTGGAAATTTCAAAAGTCAAATCCAGTTTTAAATGCAGAATGCTAGCTGTGTGGCGATTTCTCTTACCAGAACTGCCCATGAGGTCACATGCCATCACAACACTTCTTTCTGTGATACCAAAATTTCTTTATTTCCGTGAAATTTCTCTTGAGAGGCTATTTTCACCAAAGATTACTGAACTAGAAATAATCCACATTGCTTTTGTCTGGAGAAAAAGTTTGGAACGAAAATCTAGACTTTCCATTTAAATTAAGTCTTATAATTCGATTCCAGGCGATAAAACTGTCTTAAAAATTATATTGCTTTTCAGCACAAAGAGAAATTAGCCTTGACATGAGATCATATTTGAGTAGAAATTTCTTTCTGCTGCTTTATGTCCAGTGTCAAGTGGTGTTGTTTCTGGCATTTCTTCCCATGACTTTTATGTGCACCATTTATGTTATGTGCTCCATACAATTATAGTGTCAAAATATTGGCTTCTCTGAAAATAGGGAAATCCATTTACTTGAGGGGGAGTGTAATTTTTTCCAGGAGTTTTCCATGCCAATGTTTGGAGTTCTCAGCAACCCAGCATTGTTTTGACCGATTTAGTATGTATGATTGTTATCATAAATGCTAACAATAAATAACTAAAAAATAGAGTTCTTAATGATATTCTATCCTCTCTGTTTTGATATCTAGGGTGGACGTGGCCAGCACGGTATGCCTGGGAAGCCAGGACCCATGGTAGGTTTCTTTCTTAATCATCTATTTTTTTTTCCTTGTATTTGCTTTTTAACCCTACTAGAAGCAGCACAAAAGCTATTGGCAGTTGCTGGTAACAGCAAGTGCACCTGGAATTATCTGTAAGTGACTCCTAGTTCTACTCATCATAACATTAGTGCTGGCCTCTGAGAAATCATACTCCATTGTTTGCTTCATCTAAAGATTTTAAGCAAGAGGGATTGTTCTCAGACATGCAGTTAATTACTTGTTGCTTTTGCAAATGCTTGTGATGAACTTGTACTATTTGTGCAAGGTCAACTTCCCCCTTAATAACGTGGCATTATAATTATTTTTTTTAGTATTTTTTTGAAAGCATTAGTTCTGGAATGTGCTTGACAGTTTCTACCTGTTGATGCAGCCAACGTGAACTTTTGTCACTTTATGATATTCAGTTAAAAAAACCCCAAACCAATCAACAAAAAAGCCAAAACCATCACACCAAAAACCCCTTCAAAATCCTAAACCACAGCTGCTCGCAATTAAAATTTCATTCTGTGCATGTTCTTTGTGTTATGTCTTGATCAACATCCATTTACTTGTGTCATCTTAATGAACACACTTTTATTATGAAGTTTGTTAAGAAATAATTAGCTATAACAGAAGCTCAGAAAGTGCATGTCTGAAAGCTGCAAACCTCAGTTATTTAATGTATCCTGAAAGAAACTTTAAACCGAAAGATTCTTCTGTACTGAGAATAAATAACACTGTTTAAAGAAAGACTGAGTCCCAAGCTATGAAAATCTACATGGAGCATGAAATTTTGGTTTGGCTCAGCTACACTGGACATGAGAATTGGTAGGCTATCATTTTGGGTAAAATCCCATGTAGTCCTACGAAGGAGAGACTGGTCCTTAATGCCAGTGTTTCTCGTTGGATGAAGTGTTGATGAAATGCATTATTTGGGTCAGTGCAGGCTTCTGGAATTCTTCCTGCAACGAGAGAGAGATTTGACACACGTGTCATTGTGATCCTACAAGCTGGGACACGGGTTTTCAAAAATCTGCTTAGTGAGCTGTTACATCAGTCCTGTAGAAATCCAGCACAAGGTCGTGGCAGAAATGTTGTCTGTAATTAGTGCTCAGTGGGACAGATTGTTCTGCTTAAGTTTGTCAGCAGAGCTTTATTGCATAGAACATTTTTGCGCAGTATGCATCATAGTTTACAAAAAGAGAGAAAAATCAGGCAAAGACGGAGAGGCATCGCCTGGGAGCAGCGCTGTAGTGAACATTTATTACCACTGTGTGCCGCTATCCAGAGAGTTTGTAGCGTGGTAGTGAGGTCTGTTGGATGTCTTGTGCAGCAACCCATTGTTCCAATTAGATGTCTTTTTTCTAGGTTACTCTATGAAATTTAAAAGAGTTGAAGCTCTCCTTTGCTACATTCTGTAGGAAAAATTGTGATCGCTTAACAAATACCTTTTCACTTCCGTACCGGAGTAGCATATATATAAAAAGAGAACACGTAATATTTTGTTAAAAACTGAAAACCAATTGCTGTAATGATTGTCAACATTGCGATTTGTGCATCAATAGCTGAATCAGGAGCTGTGACGTTACTGCAGTCAATAAATACATTGTTAAGATACTGCATGATGATTCTGTAAAAGGTATATAACTTATAGTTACTTTGATTTTGTTATGGACAAATGTTTTGCAGCTAAAAAAATACATTTAATCCCTGAACTATATTTGTCCGATGATTGGATACCGTTCTGCATGGTCTGAACACCAGAATTACAGCTTTGTGTGTCTGTCTTTTATAGGGCCCACTTGGCATAACTGGTTCTCCAGGTTTTCCAGGTGTTCCCGGTGTAAAGGTAACAATAAAAATGTATTTTTAATATATATGACCACATAGAATTTAAAAATATGTACTAGGCTACACAGAGGTCAGACTGACATGAAATCAATCTTAGTCAAGACCTTGAGAGAGAAGATAGAAATCAGAAGCCATCTTTTTTTTTTTTTCCTAGCCTGGAGAATATGTTTCCAAAGCCAAAAAAGACAACTCACACAGATTTCTGATACTTTTTTTACTTGCCCTCCATGCAGTTGCTCCTCTTTGTTCCTAGAAAAAAATAAGAAGAAAACTCAGTCATGTAGCCAAGTTCAGCAGATGTTTTGGATGGTTGCACAGCTGGCACTATTCATGAAACAGGTTTTTTGGAAACAAGTCTTAGTAAGAGTGTTAACGTAACCTATCCAATTAAATGCTAGACCTTTGAGTGCATGTTGAAGAATGTTTGGGTATGGTCAAGCACTCCTCAGTACCTCAGAGACTGTTTGGAGAGGCTGTCACGTCATGAATGGAAGCTTTTGAAAGAGAGGAGCTACCTTCAAGTTCGATCAGCAAATGATGTAAAATTGGAATAGCTGCTCTGAACTCAGAAAAGCTAAGGAGAATGTGAAGGTATGGACTGCAGTTCTGAGTACGTGATATTAGCAGCCATCAGTTCCAAAAGGCCTATTTGCTATATGAAGATAAAATTCAAAGGAGATGCCAGAGGATTTTTTTTTTTTATTGGAGTATCCAGTCCAATCTGACAGGGATTTTTATATTTATTTTAATGATAATAAGCTCTTTCAAACCCTTGAATTGTCTTTCTCTTATAAACTCAGTACACCTGCTCCTTAGCTACTTTGTAGAGGTGCTTCTCAGGACAAAAGGATCTCTAGTTCTTTTCTTCTGTGAAATCCTAGGGGGAAGCAGGTCCCACGGGTCCTCGTGGTCCTGAAGGTCCTCAAGGGCAAAGAGGTGAAACAGGTCCCCAGGGCCCAGCTGGGTCACAAGGTCTTCCCGTAAGTACATTCAGTTGTATTCCTTGGGGCTCAGCTTGCACGCATTGCCTGGTAAATTCCCGCTTGTTAGACGCCAAGTGCTGCCCAGATCACTTTTTCACCAGGAAAGGAGAAGATCTCATTCATTTGGTTTGTGTTTATTTTGTTGAAAGTAGCTTTTCATTACTTCCTTAAAAGAACTTGGAAAACTGCAAGTTACACAGCTTGCTACAGTCTATCCGAGAAGTACTTTAAAGCTTAAGCTTAAACAGAAGATCCGAAAGATTAAAAATCGCATGAACTTCCATGCTTTGTCACCCGTACTAGCATTTGCACAAGGAGATTAACACGTTGCTGTATTTACTTAATAGCCTTTCTTATCTGGTCTTGCGAAGTGGCTGAAATATCTTTTTCTGCTTTTGCTATCATATACCCTCCTCGATACATCTAATTTTAATGACTGGTACCTTCTCTTCAGGGTGCTGAAGGAACAGATGGTTCTCCAGGTGCTAAGGGCCCTACCGTAAGTGATCGTATTGCCCGTTGATGAGATTATGTCAGCGATTTTATTTTATTTCCTTTATTTTTATTATGTTTCCTTACTGTGCTTGCTGTTCTTTCTATCTGTAGGGATCTGCGGGCACTGGGGGCCCCCATGGTTTGCCAGGTCCACCCGGTTCCCCAGGACCACAAGGCAGTACTGGGCCCCCTGGGATTCGAGGCCAGCCGGTAAGGAAATTGCAACACCTTGCAAATGTGTCAGTCTCTGAAACTAAACTAGTGATTAGCAGTGGGGTTCCTTCGAATGAGAATGCTGAGACTTGGATCTTCTGAACCTTCTGTGTGTCCAAAATACTGGTTTTGCTTTCTTAAGGGTCTAAGAAAGAAGAGTGTCTATATAAACCTGGATGAACAGGAAGTGTTATCTCCAGAAATTCTCTCATTTAAATTTTTTGTCTTGGTAACATTATAACAAACACGCATGCTTAAGGGACAGACAAACCATTATAAATATCCTGTTACGCTGTTACAACTGGTTCCTAAACTAGGAAGTGTTCTTCTATCTTATAATTCAAAAGGTCAGATGACTGCTGCAGAGTTGTAGTCTGATGGGTGTTATTCCTGTGTTTGTTTTCAGGGAGATCCCGGTGTCCCAGGTTTCAAGGGAGAAGCAGGACCTAAAGGTGAACCTGTAAGTCTCCGTATGCCCTGTAAGAAAAGGAATTGCAAAGGCTTGCCATGAGGGTTTTGAATAGATTCTTACAAATTTCAGGATGCTCGTAATCACAATGTAACTATTGTGGAAGACAAACCGCAGTGACCTGTCTGTCTTCTCCTTGGAGAATTTCTACTAGAGCCTCACCGAGTTTTGAATCCTTTGCAGCTTTGTAACTTGTAAATGCAAGTTTCTGTGTGTAGGTGATTGTAAGAAGCACTGTACAGCCAAACTGGAGAATGACAGTTTATTCATAGTGCCTTTCTTACTGAGATATTAGCTTATCAATTAGATATTGAGATAATTGAGATAATAGATATTGAGATAATGAGATATTATCTTATCGATTGTAAAAGAGAAAAGCTGATGCTAAAAATCTGCTTTATTAAAGTGGTTCAAAACTGAACTATTATTTTTTCTCCTTTATTTGGAAAAAGATTTATGATGTTTAGAAAGCAATCTGTTTCAACATACCTGAGAAGTTGTAAGTTTATCGACAATTTCTGAAAAAACCATTTTTCTTTC